CTCTCGCTCTCTTTCTCTCTCTCTTTCTCTCTCTCTCTCTCGCTTTCTCGCTCTCTCGCTCTCTCTCTCGTTCTCGCTCGCGCCTCACGTCTTGTAAACGCGACCGACACATTTATCCGCGCTTTCAGGCCGCTCTCTCGGACATTCTCGCGCACCTCTCGCGCTCTCCACGACCGACCAACCGCTCGATTCCCTAGAATCGAGGAGGTGGCACTGTGTCGCCACTCGCCGCCGCTTGTCGCCGCTGCTACCACCACCGCCTCCACCACCGCCACCGCCACCGCCGCCGCCACCTCCACCGCAGCCGCGCTGGATGGCGATGGTGAGGACTGAGGACGGCGATTCGATGTACGCGGAGCGGCAAGCTGGGGAGAGATGTCGACCTGTCACGGCCGGGGTCGCGGACAGAGAATACAGAGATTCCTCCGGGGGAGGTGGCGAGAGCGCGAATGAAAGAAAATCGGAGCGCGCGAATCCGAGGATAGAGAACCAGAAAGAAGAAAGGGAGAACGAGCGAATGCACAGGAGTGCGAGGCGAAGACAATTCAGGAAGCCGTGAGGAAACGCGCACGCATGCACTCGCGATGATGCGGTCGATTAATCCGTTTTGTATTTCCGCGCGCCGCAGGGACGACGGACTGACTGACCGACCGACCGACCGACCGGCAGACAGACCGACAGACAGACAGACGCACGCAAGCACGCACGCACGCACGTTCTTACCCCCGAGAGAGGGGTGCCACTGCCGTCGTACGGCGTACCGAGAGCGCGGGACTGTCGCGCTCGCGGCGCTCTTCAGTTCCTCGTGGTCTCGTCGGACCTTCCTCCCACCCTACTAGTGGTATCGACTGCGCCGGCGGCAGCGGCGGCGACGACGGCGACGACGCGACGACGGCGGTGATGGTTCTCGGTGGCGGTGGCGGCGGCGGCGACGACGACGACGGTGCGGGGCGGCCTTTTCTCCTTGATGCCTCTTTTCATATAGGCAAGGCCGCAGCACCGACTACCGCTACCTGGTAGCTCACGTTGATGGTAGCGCGCGTTACCGCTGGTAGCGACCGGCGAACCGCGACGACGGCATCCGCGCATCGACGACGACGATGATGACGGCGAACGGGGAGACGAGGAGAGACGAGGACACGACTACACCGCGACGACGACAACGATTATACTCCGGTTAGCTCGCTTCCCGCTGCTACCGCTGGCCTGCCTGCTGCTCTGCCGCCGATTCTGCGCGCGCACCTTCGGCATACACGTACGTGTACAACGGGCCCGCTGTCCGTCCGTCTGTCTGTCTTTCTCTCTCTCTCTTTCTCTCTCTCCTTCGCTGTTTCGCGTGTGTCACGCGCGGGCCGCTTGCGTGTGTACGCGCCGTCGCGTGTCCAAAGGCGGACGACGAGGAGCGCGAGTGTGGGAGAAAGAAAGAGAGGGAGAGACCGGCGAGGAATGAACGGAAGATAGACTAGAATGGAACGAGACAGGAAAAAGAAGGAAAGAAAAGGAAGAAGAAAGAGAGAAGGAGAGGAAACGCGGATAGAAAAGCGTCTAAGCTGGGAAAGGCTTCGGGAAAGCCTTTCAGCCTTGGTCTATTCAAGATAGGGTGCGAATTTGGTGCACGCTGTCAACGGTACCGCGGTCGCCGTTAGACTATCGTGCCTAAATCGGAGAGAGTCGCGCACACGCACACAAACACATAAACACAGTGCCGCGTTGAACTGTTTTGCGCCCATAGACTAAAATATTTCGAGTACCTTTTTATAAAACATATAAAGTCACCCCTGGAATATATAAATATATCTCAAGTTCGATTTCGAGATGTAAACATTTTTTCAATATTTAAAACATTTTTTTAATATATTTCAATTTTTATGTACAAAGGTGTTTTCTGTTTTATAGCCTTTTTAAATATTTTTCAACGCCCTTCAAGCTTCGTGGATATGAATGTTGCCTAACTTTTTAAATATTTTTTAACATTTGATTGAAAAAAAAGTTTTTTCTATTTGCCACCTCTAAATTAGTCGCCATGGGCTTAGCCCATGTCTCAATACGGCACTGCACGTACATACACATGGGAAATATATCGTGCACCTCTCCCCGCGGTTTGCGCGCGCTCGTTCTCTCTCCCTTCCATCCCCAACTGCTCTCAACCTTGTGACCCACTACCCCCGTCGTCGCGTCCACCACCCTGGAACCAGTTTCAAGAACGCGGTTTCGCGGTTTCTCCGTCCAACACCTGAATCCGGTTAACGGCTCGACAACAATGAATCCCGGCGCTTCATCGAAATAACTGTACTTCATTCAGTCACGATACCATACTTCGACTTCATTCAGCGACGTGGAGCTTCGAACTAACTTTGAGATCGTCGATCACGGTTCATTGCAATATCGCACCTTCCATCGTTAAAACGTTGGTTTCATTTCAACGCATACATATTATTGTTTCTTACTTAACGCGACTCGTCTGAAAATTATCTTACTTAACGCGACTCGTTTGAAATTTTTCATCGGTTAGTAACATAGTTCTTTTTTTGCGAGATAATTACCTTTAATTTGAAACTATCTTTCGAACTCATTCCATTTTTCTTTCTCTTTCTCTTTTTCTCAATCTATTCATACAGCACACCTTACTTAATAATGGATTCACTTGCGTTGTCCTAAATTAGTGAATACTGAAATCTGTTATGTAAAATTAACAAAATTAAATGCAAAAACATATAAATATTTAACAGGATTAAATACTTAATTAAAATGACACCATCACGTCATCTATAATAACGTTTTCAACTTGGTTTAAACCAACCTGGGTTAAATTAATGATGTTACATCTCTATAGTAGCAGTAGCTCTAGAAATGATTAAAAATATTTCAAATTGGGTATAATTTGACATTATAAATTTAAAAACGTTTAGAGGATATAGGATATAAAGATGGCCTTTGAATATCTTTGGGACGTTCCTTGAACGTCTATGCTGTATATGCTGAACATATCTATCTCAAGCTATTTATTTATCTCTCCGAAACCAGTAAGTCAGTCCCATCAACTCCGATTAATTTGATTAGTTAATTAAATTTCAGCATTGCTAACTGTAAAACTGAAAACATAATTTTCTGGCACTTGAGGAACCAAGAACGATTTAATAATAATTGTTATTGCCATATACATCTGATATCAAAGTATGTAAAATTAATCATTTAATTATTTGAATTATATTAATATCGCATATTGTTTTTCACAGCTATTAGAATATTATGTTTCCAATTTTGCTGTTGGCAATGCTAAAATTTAATCGGCCGATTAAGTTAATCGGAGTTTGTGAGACTCGTCCAAAATATATTTTATTATTACACTCGATTGCACCAAAATCTCCTTTCTCGTTTTCGCCAAATATCAAACATATTTCACTTTAAATGCGAAGAATATATTTATGCATATATATATATATATATTAGGATACGTATGAATTCCAATTGGAATTATTCCACTTTTCCTAGAAAATACATATAATGGAACTCTAGGGAATAATTGAACAATTCCGACCGGGGAATCCATATTCCGAATAATTTCATAATACGTAACATAAATACGTAAGTTACATAATGCGCGTACTTAGTTTAGTTGAAAAAAAAAGACCTTGTGACATAACGACAACTTAATATAATTACTTACTGCGTCGCTTTTTATCGCAGCGTTTCGAATCCAAGAAAACGTTACGTCAATAATTGAACGCCGTGTCGGAAGAGCTTCGATAAGAGGTAAATATCGGACTGAAGTATGCACTCGCAAATTCAAATTTCAAAAGTCGGCCACCGAACGCCGCGATAGGCTGGCCC